TATATATATTTATTTATTTATTTATTTAAAATGTTGGTTAAGTGAAAGGCAACAAAAACATTGCGTAAAAAATCAAGAAGCTACTTTACAATGAGCCACCACATCTTAATTTCCATAATGGTCATCAAAATTCAAAATGGTGTTTGGTACAATTGATGGCAAATTTGTGCTAAAATAAATCTACATTTACAATTTGGAGCATGGAACACTTTTATTCCCAATTACAAGAAGCAAAATGATAAATTAAATATCTATCCTACAGCTGAAAACAATGTGTTTTCCTCTAACAAGTTGACCTAATAATCAATAAATCTATATGACTGACTATTTCAAGCAGAAAGAGCTGCATTGAGAAGCTCATTCCAAGTGTCAGGAAGGCCTGGAAGACACCAATGGCTACAATCTGTTGCCATAACCCCACTATATCCTTCAGGATGTGCATCTTTTCTGTACTGTGAGAGTGTGGTCACATCCAAGAAATACACTGGCTTTGTTATCTTGTTCAACACCTTCTTCACCACCACCCAAGCCATTGGTGTCCCTGCAGGATACTTCAATCCAAAGAATGGTTGTTTCTCACCCATACATGACTTTGTTGGTTGATTCCAATCTTTCCCCCTAACATCACCACACAAATGAACATAACTAACTACAAAGTTGTACAATTACATTACATCATCATAGAATATATAGATGTATATCAAGGGCATGTTTCATCATAATGAATAGCTTAAACAATTCTTTATTAAGAACTTATCACATGTGAGAATTTATTCATGGGTATATTTTGAATAAAGATTTTCATAAGTACTTTTAGAAGAATAAAATAGAAACAAAATGAGATAATTTTTTTTCATAAATTAAAACTAACTTGTGCATAAGTTAAAAAATAAAATTTTAAAGAAATTATGAGAGAACTTTTAAAAATTAGTTTATGCATATATTAATTTTAGTTTATAGATAAATTTATTTAGTTTTTTTTTTTTTTTTTTTCTCTTCTAAAAGTACTTATGAAAAAGTTTATTTAAACATGTCCAAAGGTCTATATAGGTAAACTTTTCTAAAAATACTTCTAAGAGAGAAAAATAGGAAGAAAAAATGAAATAGACTTTTTAATGAATTAAAATCAACTAATACATAGGTTAATTTGTAAAAAAAAGTCATTTCCTATTAGCTTCTTCAAAACCTTATTTTAAACTTAATTATAAACTAATTTTAACTTTTAAAAAAAATTATTTTGATTTTTCTTCTTAAAATATTTCAGGAGAAATCTATCCAAACAAATTCATTAAAGAGTTTATATTAATAGGCTTCTTTATAAGTCTTAAGACGAAACTTAAATGCAACTTTTAAGTTCTTTTAATGCAAATCAAAATTGAAGTTTACGATACAATAAAAGTTTACATTCAAGATTAATATAGACTACGATTCTATGAAGGTAAACTTAGATTCTGGTTGGATGTAAAAGTACAAAAGCACCGAAAGAATTGTATGTAACTTTTTTTTCTAAATCTTATTGAAACAAACTAAAAAATAACTTATATAAGTGAAGTTTATTATAAATTCAAATATTTTCATAAAAGCTTTGGCTAAAATATAATAGGATAAGATTGATATATCTTATTTCTATTATAATCTGATGCTTGTTGCCAACATGATATATATATATATATAGACTATCTTTTATCTTATCTTAATAGTCTTAAGGAGGTAGTTGTGTTAAGAAGCAATAAGATTGTTAAAATAAAAAAATTACACTATAAAAAATAAAATATCATAATAATTATTGATTAAAAAATTAATAATTAATATTATAATTGATTTTAAATTTTATTTTTTCTAAGAATTTTCTTTTGTCATAAATCATAATAATTTATTTTATAATTAAAAACTATGAATGTACTTTATTTTCTAAAGTGCATCCTCCCTTTTAAAAAGTTAATTCTATTAAATTATATTATACTGTATTATTATTGAATATAAATTTATAAAACATATAACAATATGTATTATATACTACATATATGAAATTTACATTCATTTTTTATTTCATATGTAATTTTAATAAAACAAAAATTTTGTTACTTGAATATAATTCATATAATATCTGATTAATGTATATTAAATACAAAACATATATAATAATATTATGTGATTTATTATCTTGATATGTATAAGACATTGAACATAATTAAAAGTTATCATATCGTTATCTTATCTTATCTTTTTTATATTATATCTTACTCTATCTTTAGCACGAAAACCCTTCATACTTAAAATGAATGAATTAGAATCCAAAACGAAGGAGAAATAGAAAAACTTACTGGTAATGCACAGGAGAAATTCCCAAAAAGAAGACCTTAGTTTTCCCTGGATTCACGTTTCGTTCAACCCACTTTGCCCATGTTGTTAGCCCTTTATAGTATGCAATAAAACGGTTCATATCTTTGTACAACTTATTATTCATCTGAACATAGTCCCACCTGTAATGAATTTTTCAGACCATCAAATTAATTAATCATATAATATTTTACACTTTCTTAAGTGCGATTAATATTGTTTTCTCTGATCAAAATTAAAAATTTATCTCCGTAATATATACTTACATTTGTTATAGATATTATTAATATATATTTAAATATATTACTGGGATAAATCATCAATTCTGATAGAAGAATAACACCGATCATTTTTTAAGAATTGGACATAATTTTTGTCTAATAAGAAAAAAAAAAGTATGTTATATGTGAGAGAATGATCGTACGGTTGTGCATTTCCGGTGTGGGTCCACCAGTGCCACGTGTTAAAGATCAGAACGTCCATCCCATTCCAAGAGTCACCGTTCTTGATAGAGTCGAGCTTCAAAACTCGTCCAACTTTCTCACGTTCAAGATCCACCAAGTATGCTGTACGGTACAAATATATCTCAAGCCCATAATCCTGAGAAAAAAACAGTGTATTTTTAATGTAACATTTTTTATTATTAAAAAATTAATTTTAATTTAGCAAAACCTCCTTTATAAGTACACATATATATGATTGAAGAGGATATATAGCCTTTGGAATTCGTCCTTAATTATGGTATCTTACTTTACCATTAGTGAGAATACTAATCTTCTATTTTATTTTTTTTTTTTAAGAAAAAATAAGAGAATATAAAAGGAAAAATGTGGCCATTTTTTATCACCAAAATGTGGTCCAATTTCTAACACCGCAGTTTACTAGATTTGTGGAGTAACGTAAAAGTAGAAGCAGAGAACCTGTGTAAACCACAAGTGGTCCATTCTCTAAGTAATAGAGACCTAAATTAATAATTTTATATATATCCCAAAATTCCTAAGAATAGGGCCACTCTAGTATGATAAAGTATTTTTTTAGTTTATTAATAATTGAGAAAATAATTTTGTATTATTAATATAAAATTTATATTTTTTTTTCGTCCCTAGAGTATTCACTGTCGATAGTAGTGACTAATTTCTTCACTACGTTGGAGGCACCTCAAAAGGTAGGATAGCTGGTCCCAAAATTTAACACGACTACATATATAAGGTAAGATTCAAACCCCTGACATTGCTTAAGAGTGGATCAATCCCTACCGCTGAACTACACGCTTGAGATTTTTTATATAAAATTTATACTATGAGCCAAATAAAAATTATTATGCCTCATTTATTTTAGCATATATAATTAAAATTAAAAAAGTGAACATGCCAGGTAGATTTTTTTTTTCTTTTCTGATTCGAGTTTTTTTTTAATTTCTTTTGAACCCACATGCAATTATGAATAATTATATCTGTTGTAAGATTATATAAATAGCATTATGGAAGCTTATATCATAAACAAACATAATGGAACATGTAATAAGATTTTCAGGTGGAAGGAAGGAGAGGAGAGGGTGTAAAAGGCAAATATGAAATTATCATCATTCATTTTTCTGCAATCATGGAAAGAAAAACGGTTTTGTTGGGTAATACTTCAATCCGGGATGGATGTGAATTAACACACACTGAATCCGAGGGAAAATCAGATCTCCAAACACCAATCATTGCTAATTGAAACATTTGTTTCTATATAAAGCAACTGGTTTGATAGTCTTCATGGATGTAACAAACATTGTGGTTTTCTAGGCAAAAAGAATGAGCAAAGGGGAAAAAAAGAAAAAGAAAAAAAGAAGAAACTGTTGGTAGTTTTGAAAATTGAGCAAGATTTTTTTTTTTTTTTTTTTTTTACCC